TGTGCAAGCTGGGCTCATCCAAACCTCCAAGAGCGTCACATTTGAAGAACATGATGAGCACTAATATCTAAAGCAGTTTAAAAATATTACAAATCTCAAAATAAGACTAAAAAGGGAACGTGGCTCTTAAAAACATCACTGCGTGGGATCGGCGGAAATCTACACCCTATCAGAGCCGCTGAGGTTTACATGAACCAATGTATATACAGATAAATACTTCAGAATTTCCTACAAACATCACTAACAAAATGAAACTGGCATGTAACGGGTGCAACACCCCTGCAGTCACTTCAAGTGAAGGGTACAATTCCTTGTACACAGTGCGATGGGGATCTCCTCATCCCCAGGGAGGACGGGGCACGGCGGGTCCAGCACCACCTCCTCCTGGTGCCGGAGCTCTCCCTGCTCACCCTAAGCTACGAGGGGTTCTCCACACAACACAGCTCGGGAATAAAGTCAGTGGTCCTTAACACCGGCCAGCAGAAGCTCTCCAGATCAGGTTCTCCTCGATACTTCTCATCAGGAGGAGTTACAAGTGCTAAGAAAATTGGTGCTGAAGAGGTTCAGCTAGATGGAGGTGGCCCAACTACTGAAATGGAGGTCTCAGGCAACTTGTAAAAAAAAAAAAACAACCAAACTTTGATAAAACAAATAAACAAACAAAAAAATCAAAGCTCAAGTTTTAATTCTGGCAACAGGTTGAACAGAGATCAACAGTGCTCAGGTTTAATTCTGGAAGGAAACATTCTGCATGTAAGCCAGCTAACAGGCTGCCGTGCCTGCAACGCTCTGGCCAGGACACTGCAGCTCCACCTGCCCAAGCTCACAACTGCTGAGTCATCATCTGCACCAGGTTTTTCACCATTATTTCCGATACAACTTTGCACTCACTAGGATTCAACTTGGCCATTCTGAAGTGCAATGTGTGTTAGAGCCCAGGATACCCCTGCACCTCACCTACCAGAGCAGGAAAAGGTGGGCACTGAGCTCCTGCTCTTCCAATGACCCAAGTTTTGTTTTACAGAAGCAATGTTTAAATCACTTCCTTATCTAGTTCAAGAACTACATTAATACACAACAATCTTAAATGTGGGTCTTATAGACTCACATGGACAAACTTAAAACAGTTTCAAAACTCCATGAATATTCATTTAACAACGTGTTTTCCCGTCATTCCCTGTAAGTGGATCTCGGAGTGGTTTCCCGTGGAGCACTGAACCGTTCTGGCGTGTAAGAGCACACAGACACAACAGCCACAGACAGCGGGGAGGAAAGCAGGCTCTCTCAAACTCACACCTTGCTGAGCACGGAACTAACCCACCAGACTGATCCTGGATGTCACCCCTTCCCAGACAGCACGAGACACAGGTAACACTTTCACCTCAACCCCTCATTTGCTGCCCACGATGCCAGGAGCCAGCAGAGCGACTCCATGACCCACCTCCCTGCAGCCACAACCTCCCGTCGGCCTTTCTAGTGCAGTGGAAGGAGCCCAGAGGGGTTAAGAAATAAGAGTAATTCCAAATTCAGCCCCACAAGAAGTCCTCAGCATCAGGGGTCACAGCTGCTCCGCAGCAGAGCAACAACTGGCTTTGTGTCACCCATCCAGATGAACACGGGGACACGGAGAGTGACAAACTACAGCACACAGGGAAACCGCCTCCTCCTCCTTCGCTCTGACCCACCAGGCTCATTTACAAAGCCAAAAAACCCCTAATTTTGTTGTTGTTGTTGTTTTTTTAGGTTTTTTTTAAAAACCAAGAACATAATTTGCACAGATAAGGGCAGTTTTAACCAGTGAGTTTCGAGGGGACACAGCCCGCAGATATTCAAGCAGATTCCAGCGTCATGTTCAACATCAAGAACAGGCTCCAGGCAAAATCTACAAGGACAGCCAATGTGATGGTATTTTTTTTTAAGCCTAAAAATTGCTTTTCATTCCAAGGGGTCAAACAAAGACTTTAATTAAACAAAGACTTCAAGCTAAATACACAACGGTCCTCAAGGTCACCCAAGAAAGTTTTCCAGACACAAAAAAGTATCTTCCAAGTAAACCACCAAGTTTCAGGTCTAAAAGGACTATGGATGAGGAAGAAATGAATTCGGTGTGCTATCAAAATCCAGTCAGTTAATTAAAATTAACATTTCTTTTTTCAGTTTTAGGGACCTGATGTGGAATCACAAGCATGCTCGTTTGCAACAAGCTCACAGGCAGCACACACGTGCTGGTACCAACAGCTACAGGACAGGCTGACTCTACAAACACCCCTGGCTTCGCATTGAGACCGTGTGGAGAACGTTTTCTTTTTCCCCAGGGTGTTTAACGCGGTTTCACGTCAGATTTTACGTGTTCCATCATTTTTGGCTCGTGCAAAGATAGCTTGGAAATATATTCAGAACAATTCTCCAGCAGGAGAATTGAGTCCCCTTCATTTTCTGGTGGTTTTCTTACAGACCATCAGTGCTTTACCCCGTTCAAAACAGAGCAGCACGAAACACCTTCAAAGCAAACGCCGGGTGAGAGGCTGTAAATAGCCTCGAGAGAGAGAAACTGGTGACAAATGAAAAGGGGAGTGGGGGATACAAAGGACAGTAGAAGCATTGTGATATAAAACCATAAAAATCCTAATGAAAGAGGCTGTGAGGAGCTGCTAAACGTGCCAAGTGCAGTTCCTCCGGTAGCTGTTCTAGATCCTGACTCTGTATCACCTAAATCAAGGTTATTAACAAAATTAACCAGAAATTCAGCAGCTGCCTCAAAGGCTTTTCCAACAGTTAAATCTCAATAACCCACAGTTTCTAGAGCAGTATTCAAACAAGATTTGGTTTCAAAATAGTACAGGAAACCTTTCAATGGTTTCCCCACAGTTGTTCTGAGGGAAAGAAAAACACTGGTGTAAACAAGTCTAAATGCAAGACAATGTGCAAATCATACGATACGAACACAAAGAAAGGTGTTTTGTTCTTAAAAATCCATTTAAGTACTCCACAAAGATGTCCATGAGAAAATTAAAGGGCTAGTGTATTACAAAAGCTTTTAAAAAAATACATAATACCCCATTTGTCTACTAAAATCTCAAAATATTAGAACAATTTTTTTAAAACCAAATTACTATTTTCTTTTTAAACATTTCTGCTGTTGCCGACTCTCTGCATTTTAATCACTTGCTCAGTGAAAAACCAATTAACCAGTTTCGCTTTCAGATTCTCATGCATTCAAAAAGCTGCACTATTTGGTCTTTAGCATTTCAGGAAAATGACTGAATTGAAACCAAACCAGAATTGTCCTCAAAGCTGAAATCCCACCGCCACCACCAAATAAACCCGCTCACGGTTGGTTTTGTGACAGACCAGATTGTGGTGACATCACTTTACACGCCAAGAGCTGTTCATCAATTTACTGTTTCAAAGTTTGGAAACTCTCCCCTTTTATTTTTCAAGGTAGATTTATTTAAGCTGAAAACCAGCATTAAAGAGAAGTCCAGCTCTGCAGGACTGGCATTTTTTTGGTTCTTGGCTTTGTAAACTTGCTTGGATAACAACGCAGGAAGAGGAGGAATGAAAGAATTGGTTTGTAGCACTCAAATGAAAACCATGAACTTTTGAAGGTCTTTGACAGCTCAGCTGTATGGAAGAATGGTGGCTTCTGTGAAACTTTTCAAATCTCATTTTTAGGTCAGTACCAACTGCTTAAAATGCAGAATGTCTCCATCACACTTACATTGTGACAACTCAATACATTACAGCACAGACATTTACCGTAACTCCATACATGCTATTAAAAAAAAAAAGAAAAAAAAAGAAAAAAGGGAAAAAAAAAGAAAGAAAGGAAACAAATAAGACCGTAGCTAAACTGCTTTAAATACTGCATGCTACAGCACTTCACGTATCGTCAAGATACGACACTGAAAGGTGACAAAAGGCTGAAGGGATTACAAAATATTTTCGGCAGGTTGGAAAGCTGCCTCCTTACTGTGGCAGAATTATTCCCCCTCCCCATTCTCTACTTCTAATGTTCATGATTCTAGTGTTGAGTTGGCCATGGATTTTTTTTGTTTGTTTGTTTTTTTATCCATTCTAAATACAGTGTTTCCTTAACTTAGTTAAATCCATCAGTGTGGTAGCTGGGGTGAGAGTCAGCTGTGAGCTGGGTTGTCTCTGTGGCTGATGCTGGCTGTATCACAATAGGTGCGTCTGAGGCCTCTGAAAAGTGAGACAAAAGGCTTAGCATGAGGAAAAAAAACCAGCATTGTACGTCTTGGTACATCTCCCTGTAAGTTACATCTCCCTACAACACTTTGATAACATAATTTAACCTTCCTCTAAGAGCATGATGTTAATTTACTGCTTTTCACTCTGCATACAATATAATTTGACTTAAATCCACTCATCAAACATCTATGGTATTTCCTTCTTCATCTCAGAGCAGCTGATCCTCGCCCACCATTCAGCGATGCTCGTTCAAAACAGGATCTGAGCACACACAAGGCTCTACAGTTTTTTACATGATCAGTTTAATTCTACAGAAATAGCATCATATCTTCATAAGCAGTGTCAGATACGCCTGATACAGTCAACAAAACTGCCCTGACACCCCCCATCCTTTGGGGTAACAGAGCCCCTTTCTGGAACCAGACATGTCTGGCTGGTAACATTACTCCAGCAACGTGAGAAGGAAGCGAAATGATGGTGACCTCCTGCTCTGAAGCTCACCCAAGTTCAATGAAGACCCTCCAAGAGTTTTCAGCAACTATTATCTCCAGTGTTAGCACTACCCACGTAACTCCTGTGCCACCAGGACTCCCTGACCATCACCTACAACCCAAGACCTGCGCTGATCTCTCCAAAGCAAGCGCTGCTCCTCACCCAGCACATGAAGCGCTCGCTCAGAGACTGATGGTCAATCTAGAAATCTCACAGCATTTTTACCTACCCCTTTCATCTGACTGCAACTGTGCCTCCAAGTCCTCTGGAGAGACGTAGTATTCCTGTTCTTCACCTTCAGGAGGTTTAGGTTTACACTTCCCACAGCAACAATTACAGCAGCAGCACAGACAGCAACAGCAATAGCAGCCCGTGATGAGCCCACAGAACACAAACAAGGCCTGCAGAGGACAGAAGATACAGAAATATTCACAACCTGTGCCTACCACGTGTGATCACCGAGTCTGTGAGACTCAGATATGGAAACCAGAGACTGAGAATACCGCAATGTAGAGACAGAACTTATTAGCTATATTTTTTTGGTATCATCAAGGTATGTTTTAAAATATGAGTGAAACTGGCTGCAGCTCTCAACATTTTATGCTGAGGTGAATACTGCCAACCTGGATTACCTGAAGAATTCCTACCGTTTAGGTTTAAGCAGACTACTCTGCAAGAAGATACAGGTCTAAGAAGTGTATCTGTATGAAAATCCAGAGGTACAATAGTTTAGGACAGATTGTAGCTTGCATGAATAACCCTGGAAAAGATTTACACTGGCTAGCTGATGTACAGAGCACAATGTCCCTACGGCAGGGACTCTGACCTACCCAAGGCTGTAGGCATGGCTGCAAAGCTCAGCGTACTGAAGTTCGGGGTGTGGTGATTAGATGCTATCCCTATGTGAGCAATTTAACCCAAATCTAGCCAGGTCTGCCAGGAGTTTATCACAGTCACGACAGGCAAAATTAAAATTTTAATATAGGTGACTCTGCAGTTGTTTGAAAAAGATAATTTTAAAGACATCAAACCAGCACGGTGACATCCCTACTCTTACTGCAGGGGAATCAAGAGATGGAGACAATGCTGGCAAAGGGTAGAAAAATGAACCCATGAAATGAAATGCTGAGACCTAAAGGTTTTAATGAGCCATAAAGCACTGTCAACAACATCATGGCACTAAAAAAGTGGATGCAGTTACGGTCTCATACTTCAGAGCTGTAGTCACACTGTCTTTTACTCATCACTTTCTGTGCAAGCAGACTGCAATCACATGAACTCCAAAATGCAAGAGCCTGGGCAATTTGAGAAATGTGCAATATATCAGATTTTTTGCACTTGTGAGTAAATGTGGTGATTTTAAAATGTGTTACTTTAAAAAGACAGAAGCATATTACACTTAAAAATAATTTGAGTCAAATAAAATACAGTAATTCCTTGGTACTGGCAGAAGACTCCTAGAAGGCACCTGTCCAGTGGTTGTTACATCTACTGCACGCACACAACACTTCCGAAAGACTTTGTGTGCATTTGTGAGGAAACATGAGCTTAGAGTGTGATTCTGGTACACTGCTGACAGTCCTTCTGCTGCATGAGAAACAAGGACGGGCAAGTGAACAAATAACCTGGAGTCTCTCAAATCAGAGAAGAGCTGAAGAAGTTCAGCTGACGTGCTCTGAGTAAGTTTGTAAGGATACTCCTAAATGGGAGCTCAGGTTCACAGTCAGGATTCGCTTTGCAAAATCATTTAGCAGCCATTATCAAAGAGAATATCCCCCAAATCCTTGTCACTTTTAAATCCACTTGGAGGGTCCAAGCTTCTCTTAGTAATCTAAGTTTTGCTTACTAGGCCTGTGTCACTGAAAGATGATAGAAATTATTTCTGAATTAGAGCCTGCAACACAGCAAGAGGTGGTTAATCACCAGGTGTCAGAAAATCACCTATTTCCAAAAGACAAGCACAATAACAAAAGGAGCTCTTCAAGAGTTTTACATTTCAATCCAGTATAACTTCTCTTGGCACTTTTATTTACCTTTGCCCACCAGCTGGACAGCACGAAGTATGTGTTCACATTTTCTTCACCAAACTGCTCTGCTACATACAGACCCAGAGAACCATACTTATCGTAGATGTTTCGCTTTGTGGCATCGGTCAGTATTGCGTGTGCGTTATTGATCTCTTTAAATTTTTCTGCTGCCTCTGGATTATCAGGGTTTTTATCAGGATGATATTTCAATGCAAGTTTCCTGCAGAAAGAAAAAAAAGAGATTATAGATTAAAAAATAGGATTTGGGTTCCTGGTTTTTTTATAATCTTTTCTTTTTTTTTTTTTTTTATTCCACAGCCTGTCACTCCAGGGAGACTTTCAAGTTCCAGTTGGTTTCCTTCATCTCTGATTCAACTTCCCTGATGATTCTTCCTTAGATGATAACAAAATGGTACAGCACTGTCTAGCTCAGTTCACAGGATTGACTTCAGACTGCTGGGTTTGGCCCTCAGAAATCCAATGGGGGGGAAAAAAACAACCAAACAAACATTGAAGAAAAGTAGTACTTTTTTTTTTTACCCCTCAGCTCCATCAATTTCCACCAGTAAGTTTTGCTCCTGCTAAAGCAAAGACCAAGCTAAGAGAAAAAAAGACACACCTGCAGTCTAAGATATAGTACCAAAGAATAAATAAAAGCAAAGCTGTCACAGCTAATCTGCAGTGTCTGAATACAAAAATACAACAGAGACAATCACTTGTGGTTAATTCACCAATTCCTGTGCAAGAACAAAGTACTTTTCAGTTCAAGGCTGGCTAGAATGAAAAAGCTTCAGTTTCGAGATACCAGGAAATCGCAACATATGTCCTCTAATCATGCTAGATCTGTTACAGCTAAGTGACAGCAGTTTACAGTCCGCAGAGACCTCTGAACACAGCACACAAAAAAATGAGATTAAGCATTGATAAAGTTGCTAGTTCTGGTCCAAGCTACTGACAGAAATCAGTAGAAATAACTGGCCAAACACCACCTAAAAAAAAAATGCTGGTTTGCCACTTGAGACCTTTGTGCTCCCAAGTAGATAAATGATACAGAATTGTGGGCTAACAGCTCTCTACCAAAAAAAGGTACTTGTTCTCCTACAGAAAATTACCACCAAGTCCCATATTTGAGAAACACACTAGAAGCCTGCAGATGTTTACACAACAACTTTACAGTGAAGAAATATTTAGACAAACATAAAATACAGATGTTTCCAAGCACACATTTGGATATGCATCATCCACACAACAAATTGAGTGTGCACTCGAAATACTCCAACTGTAAATGACATTGCTCAGGTAAATAACATCCAGGGTTGCCACTGTAGCCTCAGTGAGGGCTAAAATAATCACAGTTTTTATAATTAGAGGGAAGTTTTTTAAACTTAGAAAGGGCTCAGCTACTATCAGGCTGCGATAGATAAATATTTTTCACTCCCCATTTCCTACACGTACACAGACCCCACAGCCCAGCCAAGGAAGTTCAAATGGAATAAAAACAAGAGGTGTCAGTTCCCCTTTCATAAAGGAGCAGCAGAGGAGATGAGATGAAGGTTCAGGTAAGCATGAGGCAGCTACATTTCACCCTAGGATCCCATTGGGTCATTCCTCCAAAGGAAAAACTGTTGCAGTTTTTCCTCCAGGAAGGTAAAATTATTTCCCAGTTGCTAAGGCTTGAAAATTATCGATTCAAACTTCCACTGAAGGGTTTTAGGAAGACATGGATAATTTTTGAGAATCTGTAGACCCAGTTTATTCAGAGACTTCACCATGTAGTTGCCATCAGTACTAAAATATAACTTTGAAAGGGAAAACTTTTGGTAAATGATAAAGTCCAGAACAATTTTGAATAAGCAGACCCTCATGTAAAGATGGCTACTGACCCCTAGTGTAATGTTAAATACACTGCCACCTGTCAAACAGCCTACAGCTCGTGCTTAAGGAGAAAAAGCAATTTGCATTTAAGATTTTGAGGGAATGTGGAAAGAGAGGATGTTACAGGACTCTTTTGTTTGTTTTTATTTGGTCAACGTGAAGCTGTTTCGTGTACCTAACTCTTAAGAAAGGAAATAAAGTAAAAAAAAAATCCTCTTTTAAAAATAGTAACTTCACATAGAGGAAGAAATTTTGAAAGGATTTTTTTTTTTTTAGAAAAAAGTCATAGTTGATAAGTAGTTTTCATCCTTATTTGTGCCTCTAGTCTTTATCTCACTGTGACAGAATTGGAAATGATGGATGAAAAGGCAACACCGCACGTCTGTGGTCTCTGTATGTAACGTGAGGAATTTAACTCTGCTCACACTGTCTTAAAACTCTCATTGACTTTAGATAAAGACCCTTCAAATGACACTGCATATTGGAGAATTTAACTTACTAGAGATGAGATGTAAAAATTTAACAGCACTTATATACAAACCCCAGGCATGTTTTCACACCATTTTTTGCAAGAATCAACCATGTTTTCACCTGATTTTCTTACATGTTTTTCTTGCAAAAGGTTTAAATAAACCAACCAGAGCCTGTACATAAACACCCCATCTGCTGAACACTTAATTAAAATTATTTGTGCTATTGGGCAACACGTGTAGAAGTTGAACCTTTACCTGTATGACTTTTTGATGTCATCCGAAGTGGCGTTCTTGTCCAGCCCTAACACATGGTATAAGGATTCTCCGGAGGTGGAGAGCGAGCGTTGCCTCTGGTCTGCCATCCTGAACTAACCTGAGGAGAGACCCAGCCCCTGCCAAAAAAAGAGATTGAGAAATGCTTAAACAAAGAACACAGACTTCATTAATAACATCAGCCTTGAAATTGGAGTTACCACGTGAAAACTCATATTTTTTTAAGGTTTAAATGTGCTTGGAAAAGGCTCTTAACATAGAGGGAAGTCAAAAGTTACCAAACTCAGTGAATCACCAGTTAAAACAACTGTTGTATTTTCAGCAGATCCTGAATCCTCACTGTATACACTCAACTCCCCTTTCCAAAAACCCCAAATCAACAGCTGAGGTACAGCTATAGGTATGTCCTATACACACACCCCTAAAGCTACTTCATTTTCTTAATTTATTTCTGATAATACCTATAAAAACGTGACAAAGTGGCTGTTAGGTTGAGGATGCCACCACGCTTGTACAGGGGTAAGTCATTTAATTTGTATTTTCAATTGCAGACATTCTGTTACATTAAAAAAAACCCAACCAAAAAAAAACTAAAACAAAAAACTCCCAACAAACAAAAAAACCTCTCAGTACCTCCCAAAAACCCAGTTTCCCATCTTATCACTGACACCAGGTTGAGCAGAATCCTTTCCTCAAAATCCAGTCTGACTCAGCCTGTGCATCCCAGTATGAAAGAGGGAATGAATGCCTGCTGGCTTTGAGGAGATCTCCTCAGAATTTAAAGTTGTGGATCAAACATTTAACATGTATTCTGATTAAAATCATGACACTGGAATGTGAATTAACCCCCTGTTCCAAATTCAAATGTGAAAGAGCCTGGAGATCCCCCATGTGCCACACCACGGACAGGTATGGTCCTGCTCTCTAACATCCCGAGGAGATGAGCACTTGCCATTCTTCAGCTGCAGGACTGCAGCAAGGATCATAGAATCACAGAATGGTTTGGGTTGGAAGGGACCTTAAAGCTCATCCAGTTCCACCCCCCCTGCCAGCAGCAGGGACACCTTCCACTAGAC